GACAGGTGTAAATAAATTTTATCACAATGAGTTGCTTCCTGTCACAAGTTCACCCACAGTACAGTCAGCAGTTACAGCAGAGTTTGTCCCATAGTTTTTTGCATATGCCTTCAGGGTAATGCACTGTGTGATCTAACATATTTTCCAAGTATTTTGCACCACACCTACCTATTATGCTATCAACTCAGTCCGAAGTACTCTGTCCTCCTATGTGCTATGTAATATCCTGTCAGATATTCCTAATGTCTGCTACATACATTTGCATGCGGCCGTGTTTGGGTGATTGTTCTTTTGCTTTTCAGTGTATAGAGATTTAGCATCAAATACACGATGTGTATGCCATGTAACATGTGCTCTTGGTGCGTACATGCGATGTGCTGAGCATATATCCTGATGTTGAATCTACGGCGTACTATGTGCTATGTTCTATGTAGAATGCACTAGGTACTATGCATTACGCCCCATACTGTGGATTTCGTCTTAGCAGTATCTTCAATGTACTGTGTATTATCTCTTTTACTATATCCACCAACTGTGTACTGTGCCTGCAGCCCTCTGTGATTTGTCATCTGTAACAGATTTTCTCACATACTATGAAACACTAAATGACCTTTTGGGGCTTCACTACCCAAAGAATGTATGGCAAACTGTGATTGACCTATTCACTTCACTCGATGTGTGGGATACGGTGTGAAAAATACAGGCAAGTTTGAATGAGTAGAAGGAGGGAGGGGGGGGGTAGTATTACTGAATGTTGTGATTTGATTTGCATTGGACATGTGATTCCACGAGTATGTGGAGGGAGGGAGAGGTATCAAGGTTGTCCGTTACTGTTTTCACATGTGTAGAAACAGAAAGCGTGTTAAACCATCACTGACCAGGCAAACTCGAGAGTCGAAATTGTGACAGTCTGGTTTCTTCGGATGCACGCTGCTGCCGGACCAAAACAAATGACGGCACCAGCGAAACCAGCCAAAAAGGAAAGAAGTGTGTTTTTTTGCTGGCTGTTCGTTTTTTTTTGGCGCGCTGTGCAAATCCGTGTTGGGAAAAAGAGGCTTGGAGGTACTTGTGCTTCAAGCAGAATTGGAGGATATCTTCCCCACCAATGGCAAGGGAGGGGGGTATCTAGAGGCAGTGCAGTACATGATTCAGCACGTACGATGAGGGAGGGGTAGTGTACAGTGGCTTTGCAGCATACCTTATGCCCGTGATGGGGAGGAAGGGGCGATGTCAAGGGGCATCACAGTGTAATGAGCACTGGGTATGAGAGGTGAGAGGGAATGAACACACAGACATGCATACAGACAGACACAGGCACAAGCACACACACACACACACACACACACACACACACACACACACACACACATACACACACAGTTAGACATAATAGTCAGACGAAAGTACAGCACAATGCTTTCCAGGTGTAAGAATATGCGAGAGGCCTGTCAATATGTGTTGGAAGACCTTCACGCATGACAGTGATAGTGTCAAGGGATATGTAAGGACCTGCCTAACACGGACTGAGACACACAGCTGATTTTTTCTGAGTTTTGCCAATGGGTACAATGGTATTATATTATTGTATAATTGCTGGATACCTGTGTGGGGATCCGGGCCGCCCGGGTGACCAGCAGGGGCCCGGGGGAGGCCCCGGGCGGCTTGGCCGGGCAGGGCACCCGGTTGGGGGCCGGCCCCCCCCAGCGCACTCACCTGTCGGGGGATTTCGGACCCCCTTTCAGAACCCCTTTGTGTGTGTGTGTGTGTGTGTGTGTGTGTGTGTGTGTGTGTGTGTGTGTGTGAGAGAGAGAGAGAGAGAGATTGAGAGAGATGTGTTCGAATCATACTTGCAGCGCATCTCATGCGTGTGATGCGTCGCATTAAAAAAGTAGAAAAACAAAAATGTCCTAGTTGTGTCCAGCGACTCCAGCCTTATTTCGGAAGGATCCCTACAGCATATTAGCTAGGACCCGACGTCATGCAGAGATACACTTCAAAGTTCAAACTTCTACTCCCTGAGGGTGGGCAGAGAATATATAGTCTGGATTCGAATTCAGGTCTGTGCATGTCGGTTATGGGTCACTATTTCTCTGTTTTCTTTTTCTTTTCTTTTCTCGTTTTTCTTTTCTTAGGAATACGTGCAGTGGCCCTAAGGGCCTCTACTCAGCAAATGCACAAAAGACAAAACATATTGGTGGCGTATTATTCCACGTTCTGCAGAAGATTCATTCTAATTTTGCACATTTCGTGAGTAGTGCAGCCAAGCCCTAAGAGTCACATGCAGAGACCAACAGGTCCTAGCTACGTGAGCAACCCATAACTGCTGAAACACAGACCTGAATTCGAATCTTGAGTATACATTCGGCCAGCTCGTGCTCTATTTCATATTCACTGCCTGCCTCGATTTTGGTGGGGGGGTCTGCGCTACATGTCTGCGAGGACCCTTCAGATAGCCTGCATGGGCCGTCTGAGCCGTGTTAAGGGGATCAGCTCTCTCTCTCTCTCTCTCTCTCTCTCTCTCTCTCTCTCTCTCTCTCTCTCTCTCTCTC